CCCTCCCTTCTTCCCTCCCTCCCTGCCTACCTACCTACCTACCTACCTACCTGCCTACCTACCTACCTACCTACCTACCTGCCTACCTACCTACCTACCTGCCTACCTACCTACATACCTCCCTACCTACCTTAGATCCAACTATTAAGTGCTCGTCGAAGTCGGGGCAGTATACACAGTTCACAGTAGACACCTTAGGATACTCGCTAGGAACAAGCATGTAGTCCGCTTGGCAGTTCCCAGGAGGATTCTACCTCGGAGGAAACTCCAGTTGGGAAGGTGAGTCGCCCATTCCGGACATGACGTCGAAAGAAGAAAAAAGAAATAACCTAATACTATCATGGAATATAAATATTATCTCCTCGCGACCGGGCAATTTGAAACTGTTGTCCCATTATACGCTTTTCGCGGTTTTACCCCATTCTGATGTTGATGACGGCCTCCGCGCACATGGCGGAATTGCTACGTTGATCCACGACTTGTTGCTCTCTGCAGACGTTCTAGTTCAGATCGAACACAAAACAGTGTGTGTGTGTGTGCGCGCAGGTGTACTTCCCATCCCTCACGTTCTCTGCAACATCTACATTCCTCTAGGGCAGCGTATCCGTCGATGAACTTGTGAGATCTATTCTCTCCGTTCTTGATAGTCTGACCGTCCGTCCGACTGTCAGTCTGTGAATACCACTAGCGCCTAAACCATACGTACGATTTGTGTCCAAAATGGATATCCCCCGTTTGATCTGGCTCCACTCAAGGCGCCGCTATTTTGAAAACCTTTCTTCAAAATTTGGGGGTAGTTTATATGAAGCCCCCCGGACATTTTCACACTTTTCTAAAAATAGCTCCAATTTTGTATTTAACATTCGTGTAAGAATGGAGTAAAATACACTTATAAATGTGGCATATGTGCGTTTTCACAGTTAACTCTAAATTTTGCAAAATTTTGAATTTTTTGCGACTTTTTCCTACATCTACAAAATTAAAGAGAAAATTTTTTTCTTCAAATAAAATTTGCTCTCCATAGCGAGTTCTTTTGTTACTTTCATATACACATTTTCAAAATTTTAGTAGTTTTTTCGCAATATTGCCTGCAATATGTGCATTTAAAAAAAAATAACGAAAATATTTTCTCAAAAACGGCTCCAATTTCTTTTTCTTTAAACTGTTGGTAGGGGTAGTTCTAAATGTACTCAAAGAGCCATGTTGCTCTATTCTTTTGTTGTTTTTTCAAAAATTACAAAAACGTAATATTTTTGACTTGTCTCTCACGTCGTTTATATTTATTTTCGCTGCGATTTCTTCACATTATTCTATTTATGAGTACATGTGCTTTAAATAATATCATATACAGTTTCTCGAAAACTCCAGTTTTCTGTGAAAACTGGCTCAAAATTTCACACTTTCAGAAACGCTGAAACCTCATTTTCTCAATAATGGCTACAAATTTTTTCTTCAAACGTTTTGAAAGAATAGTGCTTATTGCAGTGTTTAATATGACGTAAAGTTATTTTTGGGATATTTTTATTTTGTTTTTTCAAAAATTACATGAATGTAATTTTTTAAAAAATCTTATCACATTATTAGTATGCATATTTCTAGAAATTTATAAAAACTATTTGTATTTATGAGTTAATGTGCTTCAAATGACGTCTAATGGTGGTTTTCGAAAACTCAAAAATTTTCTGTGGAGATGAACTTCAAATTTCGAATTTGGAGTAGTGCTTAAACACCATTTTTTAAAAAAACGGTTTCAAATTTTTTAAAGAAATTTGCCATTTAGAAGTTTGATTTTACTATTCTTAAAGTATTATTTCTGTTCTACTATAAAGAGACCGAAAAATTAAGAAAATATCAAAAAATGTACTTTGAGCAGTGATATTTGGCTCTTGGCAAGAGTATGTGGCTGTCCGAATAGCTAGCCGAGACCAAAAGAAACAGAAAAGTAATACGGGAAAGTCTGTGACATTCTGTAGCACCACTAGTTATTATTCTGTTTTGTTTTGCTTTATCAGAAATACTGCAGAAAGAAAGTTTCATTAGGTCATGCATTCTTACAGATTGTAAGTCATAATTGCATTCTTATTTCTTTAGTATTTTGAGGTTAACGGTGTCAGAACCCTATTTATAAGTATCTCACATTGACCTTTATTTTATGATAAATTTTTTGACCAAATTCCTATTATTGATAATAGAGTACATTATTTATGATGTTTTAGGAAAGACTGCAGTTGGAGGAACAGTATGTAGCCCAATGTCGAAGATTAGCTGATGACTGGGAAAGATTAGAACGGCAGCAGCAGGATGGGTTGGCAAGTCTGCAGAGTCGTGAGGCTGAACTTTGGCGACGTAAACAGCTGTTAGAACAGGAGAGGAATCGCCAGCAACAGGAGGTATATATTCGTTAAATTATTTACTGTATTGCAACTTTATATTCGCTTTGCATTAGTTGTGTGCCTTGAACAAGAAATAAAATTGCTTCTGTTATAAATTCATTTTGACTATCCAATGTTCTGATGTTTAAAGTTACGTAAGTTTTGCCTAATTTGTATACAAATTCTTTTGTCAACCCCAAAAAAGCAATTTTGCATGGAAGTGATGTTATTTACAGCTTTTTAAAAGTGATTTTCTTTATTTTCTATGAAAAACTGCTTTGTATCTTACCTCAAATGGTTTTTAATTTTCAAGATTTTTTTTTCCTCTCTCTTAGATTCATGATTTAAATTCTCTTCTGCAGTAGGTCTTTTGTGTCCAGACTTTCCATATTAATTTGTAATTAGAGAATACCTTATTTCAAGGATCTTCTTGGTGTTTAACACTGAACTATTATGAAAGTAATCTTCCATTTCACTATCAGTCATCATTATCCAATTATATTTTGTATTATTGCATATAAATGTTATTTGCATTTTGGATGCTAAGGAAATAACAAAACCTTATAAATCAATTGCGAGTCATAACATGATATTTTAACTTCTGTTGTTCATTGTTAGCCATAGTATTTCATATTATTGAGGTTGATTTGATTTTTTGAAATTAGATCTGAAATTAATTTAACTGAAATTAACTGTTCATTGGATTTATTTCAAAGATCACTTAATTTGGTTGCATCAAGTTACGTCATCTATTTGGATTTGAAAGTCATACTCTGTTCTGCCAGAGCTACATTCCATTGTTTTCTAGAAGCCAGAGAAGTCTTTTAAGAAGCATTAAAAATGTCAAGTATTATAAAACAGTATTTTATAAGAGATAGTCTTTATTATAGAAATAATTGTTGAGATATGAAGCATAAAGTTGAAGAACTAGTTGCTTTTGTTAATCACTAACTTATTTGTGGGGGGTTCTTGACTATCATTTCTTTCAGATCTCCAGTTTTCCATAATATGTGTGATAATCTGTAGGTTTTCTCAATATTTGACAATTCCATAATTGAAATAACTTAGATGCAAGGAGTGTGAATGCTAATGATGCAGTAACTGTACATGACATATTGACCTCTTGTGTCCCAGCAAGTGTTGGCAGCTATGTGGGATTTCAAGTTGGATCACTACCACTCATGTTTAAACAAAATTATTGTAAATTTCTGAATATTTTGTTGGTTATATTTTCATGTTTCACTCAAAATAATATGTTATAAGTTTTAATTTAATCTGAGCAATAATTTAAATTTAATTGAATAGATCAATTAACATGCATTCTTTCCAAACTAAAAATGTTCATATTTTGATAGCATTCCAGTTTATCTTTAGAGGTCCATACATGCATAGATGAAATTTCCATAATAGTTTCTAGGGCTTATTTCATTCATTTGTTATCCCTTAAACAACATTCTTACTTTCAATTGTTGTGGATTATTATTTAGTGTGAGAATTATAATAAAGAGTTCACACATTATTTAAACAAATTTATCTTCATGTGTAGGTTTTTTGGCTCTCTTAAGATTTAATTTTCTCTCTTCTCATATCTGGACCCTTTTTGCAAGTCTAGTGCTTTCTGTGATATGCATGTGCTGTGTCACTGGCACCAGGTTGACAGGGAGTCAGGGCAGTTGGCAGTTCTGAAGGCTCAGGTGGACAAGTGTCGGCGCCAGTGCAGCTGGGAAACCCCTCAGCGCTCATCTACACCATGCCAGGTACTTTTGTGGACCCACTTAACTTGGGTTTGGGTAGCACTGAACATTTAATTGACCAAAGCAAAGCTCCCCACCCCCACCTGCTCCTCCCAAAAAAGGAGGAATAAACAAAATTTTAAATTACATTCACCCATATTAATGGAATATTGAAATTTTGGACCTTCTTAAAGAATAAAAAGAGTTTTGCTAACGCAAAAATCTTCCATATATAAAGTATGAAATCAGTAATTGGCATGAGACTGATGGAAAATATGTCATTCAAAATTAATTCATATTTAGCATAAAAGAAATAAATTAGGAATTAGATATTCTACGAAGTTGCAACAGAGTCAACAATGCTTGGAAAAGGAAAAAAGCAATTATTTTCATAAATAATCTTGTTGGTGGTTCAATATAATTTAAATTAATTACAAAAATGTTTTCTGTATAATGGGTAGAATGAATGTTTCTGATAGTTTGCTGAGAAACACTTCTTTTCGGCATCACAGTGTATTGACTAAGTTTATAGTTCCACAATGTCTAAAGGCCGGTGTTTATGATGAGTGAAGTCTGTAAACATACTGGTAAGTATTGCCTGAGAGAAAATGTAATTTGCTCACATGTAAACAGGTTATTGATCCATCACTGGCAAGGTACTGAGTAATGAGGCTGTTCACATGTCGTGAAGAACATAGTATGATTCTACACAGGTATTTTGTATTTCATTTAAAACTCTTATTATCTGGTGAAGACATGTTCCATTACTTCTGTAGAAACAATGTTTGTTCAGTTGCTCCAAATCCATCTTAATGACCACATTTTGTGTTTGAAAATTTGAAAATGCTCATAAGGCATGCTTTTAAACAATAATATTAATTTTTATTTAACATTTTTTTCTATTTTTCTGACATGGTTTTGAAAAAAATAAATACATAGTATCTACAAACATATTTTGCTTTTTCATTGCAATAAATTCTGTTCCCTTGTGATTAAGTTCGCGTGCAACCTAAATTTAGTGAATTTGGAGTTGTAGCAGCAAAGTGATTTCTGCGAGCAAGGAAAGGCGAGGCAATGTCACTAAGTACACTTTTTATTTTGTTTTTTAATATTTTAAGTAATGATGTGGCATGAGAATGGTCAAAAGAAATCTCAAGAGGGGAAATATATAAGTACTCGTACATTGTATTTATGAAACTCATTATATTCCATTATTCATTATATGCCATTCTGAGCACCGTATAATGTACACCTACCAGTGGCAGGTCCAGGAGGGGGTGACATCCCCCCTCTCTACCAAAAAGGCCTAGAGTTTTCGTTTGTTACCTTCATTTATTTGGCCAAATTGATTTCAATATTTATTTAGGTTAGAATTATGTAATGACTAGCGGAAGCCGGCAGACGTCTGCGTCTCATCTGCCCTTTCTCTTTGTCTCCCCCCCCCCTCTCTTCATCAGCTTCACCCACCATCCTTCTCCCGTCTTCCCACACAGCCTTACTCTCTCTTCGGCTCCCCACCGTCTCTACCCCCAGCAAAAATGTAATAGAATGTTCAAAAATATCTCATCCTGTAGATTACGGTGTGAGAAACGTTTAAGTTTTTAATACCATAGAACGCCTCGTTTAGGAGTTGTTTAACGATATAGATTCAAAAAAATTCTGCCGCGGGTTGCATTTGACACTTATAATTTAAATTGGTCAAGCCGTTCGTGAGATACTCTATCGAACCCGTCTTTGTTATATATCTGTGTGTGTTTTTGTGTGTGTGTGTGTTTGTGTGTGTGTGGTGTGTTTGTGTGTGTGTGTGTTTGTGTGGTGTGTGTTTTGTGTGTGTTGGTTGTGTGGTTTGTGTTGTGTGTGTGTGTGTGTGTGTGTGTTTGTGGTGTGTGGTTGGTGGTGTGTGTTTGTGTGTGTGTGTGTGTGTGGTTGGTGTGTGTGTGTGTGTTTTGTGGTGTGGTGTTTTGTTTGTGTGTGTTGTGTTTGGTGATGTTGTGTGTGTGTGGTTTGTTGTGTGTGTGTGTTTTGTGTTTGTGTGTCTGTGCTGTTTGTGTGTGTGTGTGTTTGTGTGTGTGTGTGTTGTGTGTGTTTGTGTGTGTTTGTGTGTGTGTGTGGTGTTTTTTATATTATTTCCCTTTTTTTTTTATTTTAACGTTGGGGGGGGGCGGGGAAAATTCTATAGAGCACAGCGGGCCCGAACCGCGCGTGTGGGATTCATTAGCTAGCCTGAGTACTAACACTAAGAAACGCTCCCTTTTCTCCTATTCTTTCCGGGACGCGTCCAGGCATTCGGAATCGCGGAGAGGAGGATGGGCTTTTTCGCAGGTACTGAAATATACGGGAGTCCTTCTTCGTAACTGGTCTCGGAGCGGAGCGGTCTTCAGGCTTTGTCGGCATAAGGTGGTACGATGCCAATTCTCATTCTTGTGTAGAGCTCTTAGGACGATGGCTAGGGTCTACTCCTCTTGGAGGACGTCTGTGAAGTTCCCTTCCCCCTCTTCATGTGAATGGCTGTGCGCAATGACAAGAACACGTGTTCTACACCATTGTCCAATTTCTCCGGGAAACAGCGTTGGGCCATGAGTGAGCTATGTCCGCCGGATGGCAGTTGATATCGCCGGTAACATCCTGCTGGTCCGCATCTGAACGTTAGATTAAAAATCTAATCTGCATGTCCCTTTGATCACGTAGATGTCGGGAATGAGCCGAATGTCATTCGCCCAGTTGATTGATTTGCTCCCATCGGCGTGCCATTGGTTCACCTTGCAGCCTCTCTCTTCTTCCGTTATGATATCTCCAGTTTGAGGCCTCCTCCCGCTTGGTCAATTATAGAGTCTAGCTTCTCTCCTGCGCATGAGGTGATCGGCGGCATATGCTACACCACACAAGCATCCCATCGGACACGGTCGCAAAGCGCTGAGCCCACCCCACGCAAGGGCCGTGGGACCCTTCTGATGCACGACTAGCGCCACGGGCGATGACGAATTGCCCATTGGCAAGCCACAAACAGGGGCTGCGTCTAGCGTAGAATGGGATTTACTACGCTATGTCAAAGCTCCGGCTTCTTTGCCAGGACCCCTAATAGCATAAGTGCGTGCCAATCGCGGATGCATCGATATGGCTTCCTGGAGAGCATTGGCAGGTTGCTCCGTCAATAGCGCAGTCTCCGCGTCAATATGCATCCAATACCTCATGAAGTGCGAGGAATTGCAGCCCTACATTAAGAGTACAATCTCTCTCACTTTCTGCCGTCCCGCAGCAAGCCTTCTGTTTATGGGCGGCATCTGTAGCCTCCGAGTAAGCCCCCGCCAGTCTCCGCACAAGCTCGTTGGCAACCTCTGGTGACTCTGCTCGATGTGATCTGCCAGACAACGAAATTGAACATCGTCAGCGAATCCAATCGTTCTGCGTCCCTTCCGGCATCGAGCCTGTCAAAGGGTCATACATAATGTCACAACATCGGACGAAGTACCGAAACCCTTGTCGGACAACCGCCTGTGCGTATAAAGGAATTGTAACTCCAGACACACCGGTCCTTCATATAGGAGACGTCTCTCCTTAAAGTTAACCTTTTTACCAGTCGAGATGGTACCCTCTGCGCACCACCAACGAGTGTTGTAGCGCAGAAAGTGGAGCTCACTTTCGCAGTGTTAAAGCGTTTGTTGTGTGTGTGTGTGTGTTCTGTGTGTGTGTGTTTTGTGTGTGTGTGTGTTTGTGTTGTGTGTTCTGTGTGTGGTTCTGTGTGTGTGTTTGTGTGTGTTGTGTTTTGTGGTGTGTCGTTTGTGTGCCGTTGTTTGTGCTGTGTGTTTGTGTCTGTGTTGTCCCGCTCGTGCTCGTTGTGTGTTGTGTTTGTGGCCGTGTTTGTTTGTGTGTGTGTGTTTTGCGTGTGTGTGTGTGTTTGCGTGTGTGTGCTGTTGGTGTGTGTGTGTGTGTTGCGTTGTGTGGGTTTGCTGGGCGTGTGGTGTGTTGTTGCGCGTGTGCCGCTCGTCGCCTGGGCGGTGTGTGTTTCGTGTGTGTGTGGTGTTTTGCGTGTGTGTGTGTGTTTGCGTGCTGTTGTGTGGTGCGTGTTGTGTGTGTGTTTGCGTGTGTGTGTGCTTTGCGTGTGTTCGTGTGTTGCGTGTGTGTGTGTTGGCGGTGGTGTGTGGGTTTGCGTGTGTGTGGTGTTTGCGTGGTGTGTC